CAAGTATTTGTACAATAAGTAAATAAGTATTCCAAATCAAATGAGTTATTCGTATGTTAAGTAGAGAGGGATTTAGAATTAGGGTTAACAAATTCATTCGTTATGTTTCTTATCACTGAATTTATTTCGTTTAGTAATTATAAAAGTAAATGTTCAAAATTTTGATGTTTATTGAAAATTTTATATGATTAAAATATTAAATTCAATTGAATTTGTATCAGTTTTTTTTTTCTTTTTCGAATTTGTATCAGTTGATCCTAGGCCTCATTCTATTTACCTTCCTCCTCCTTTTCTTCTTCTTTTTTTTTCTTCCCCTTTTTAGTCTCCTTTTTTCCATTTTTAAAAATCTTTTACGATATATATTGATATGTTCTATTAATTAAAAAGTAGAAATTTAAAGAAGAATCGCCATGGAAATCGTGTGAATTATCTCATTGATGATGGAGAAAAGAATTACTCTGCATTTTGTCTATATTCTCTTATCTTTTTTTTTTCTTTTTTTCGAGAAGAAGGGCGGCTGCCTTAATTTTTTGGCAAAATATTATAGAAGATTTATTTTAATTTGGGCCTGGATCTTAAATATAATACCTTTTTTAAATGGGTTAAATTTAAAGCAAAAACAGGGAATTAAGGCCATTGGTTGATGTAAAGAATTTAAATGTAGCTAAAAACATGTATGAAATGAAGGCCATGCATTTGACGTTGGATGGAGACTTTAAAAGATTTGCGTATATACTAATAAGATCATGCACGTGCATGTATATCAAGATTTCTTTTTATTTTTTGGTAGTATTTAAAATTCAAAAGAATCGTATAATTAGACGCGTAATTATCTGTCTTGGAAAAAAGAAGAAGATTATATTAATGCATGATTATGAAGATGGGATCTGCTGAATTAATTTAATTATAAAAAACATTTGGTGGTGTTAGAATCTAATTCCCTTCACAGACATATGGGCTTTTCCGCAATTCCACGCAAAAAAGCTTACCCTTTCATGAATTATATTGCAGACATATATAGTTGGAAAGCTATACCCCTTGCAGCTTTACTTATATATATATATATATATATATATATATATATATATATATAATATATATATATACAAACATTAATTATTAAATATCATAATAAATACGTACTAACATTATTAGCTTGTTGCAAATTAGAATGAAAATATTTATATATATGTTTCACTTAATTAATTAATAGGAGTAGTATATTTTAAAAATTACTCTACTTTCCAGAAGAAACTTTTAACATCACAAATTAAAGAACTTGAATCTATGATTTCTTTTATTTAGCATTTGGCTAACGTTACTTTAAAAACTACTTTAAACCACCTAACATGTTAGGGACGGGTCTGACTTTAATATTATGATTAAGAAAAATGAATTTTGAATCTAGCTCAACTCAAAAACTAACTCGAGAGGTAAGAGTTGTCCAAAATTATATAAAGAGGTGAATTAGTAACTCTTAATCCACCGATCTGAAACTCCAACCATTTTTATCTTGGTTGTTATTTTACTCAGGTACGTAGTACATTTTCATGTTGGAGTTTACATCAGAATACTGGAGTAAGTTGATAAAAGTGGACTATAAGAAAAAGTAAAACCCTATCTATAGTTCCTTTTATAAAAAGAAATATCCCTTTTGTTCTACCCTATATCTTTGGACTGGACAATTACATGTAAATAAAGTGGGGAATTGATAAAAATATGTTAAATGCAAGAGAGAGTTGCTGTATTTTCAGTATTTATTCGCTTGTGTAATTTTCTATCGACGGGTTCTTCAACTCTACCAAGTCCTAATATATTCGTTCATATTATTATCTTTTTCACAACTGCAAAAGTGGAGTATGATGCCACAATTATCAATTGTATAGTGATTTAGTTTGCTCGTAAATAATATTGTATAATTTTCAATACACTTTAACTATTACTCCAAATTAGAGCATAATGTTTGTGAACTTAACTTTATATTATGTCGACATAATTATGCGTGTAGACTTCATAATACCAAAGGTTCGACCTTATGTCCTTTACTATTCACGAGCTCACACACTTAAAAAGTTTCGAAAAGATTATGACAAAAATTATTAGTTACTTACTTGTAGGGATGGGAAAAAATCAGCCAATAAAAATAGAGCAAATTTTAGGAATAGCAAATATAAAAATCATATAAGCGCTCTATAGCTACAATTTTGCTATTTGCACTCCATAGCAAACTGTTTGTTATGGAACATTTGATTTGTATAAATCGCATGCATCTGATTTGTATAAAATCGCAGTGATTGTATATGTATATCGGTTAGATAATTTTATATATATATATATATATATATATATATAATTACTATGTATATGTATCAATGATTGTGTTTGTATATCTGCATAAAATTTGAATTTGTATACAATTGAATCGAGTTAAAACATTTGTATTTGTATATCAAATCTCTCTCTCGCTTTATTCAAACACAAATTATACATTGTATTTTGTATAATTTGTGTTTGTATAAAGCGAGAAAGAGAGAAAGACAAAGGAGAACTGGGAAGGGGAAGATTTGTATTTGTATAATTATATGTGTATAGGACGAAGAGATATGTATTTATGTATACAATTTTCTCTCGCTTTATACAAACAGAAACACAATTTATTCATTTGTGTTTGTATAAAGTGAGAGAGGCGAGCCAGATTCGAGAGAGCGAGCCAGATTCAGGGGAGAGAGGCGAAAGGCAAAAAGTTTGGTGCGAATTGAAATTAAATGAAACGGTAGCTATATCATTTATTTTGAATTAATAGTTTGCTATAATGCACCATTTTTCCATAAAAATACGATACCAACCAATTTGTTTAAGTTTAGGTAGATTAATAATTTGTTCATTTATTAATTTAGACCATTTTGACCGCTTAATTAAGCCTATCTAAAGTTGAGCTGATTTGGGGTTAAATAATAAATATATAACTTAATTGACTCACGAGAAATCTTGTCAAAATAATTTTCAAAATACTTTATTTTTGTTTGATATATTATATATAGTCCTAATAAAGAATTTCTTTCGATAATTGAATAATTCATAAGAAAAGTAGACCCGTTATCTAGCTCATTGATCTTGACCTACCTTATGTCAGCCCAAGTTACCCGTTGAAGGCTCGCAACCTATTTTAACCTGCCCAAATTTAGTCCGGCAATTACACACCCTCATCACTTGGTGCTGGCCTAAGTACACATATACCTTATTTTGGCGTCACAATTTAAGATATGCTTATAAATTTTTGCACATCTACTCATCTCAGAACAACTTCAAATATGTGGTAATTGAAGTTAGTTTTGACAGTCTAAATTCAGACATTTATTTGACATTTTGACTGAAGTTCAAGCATTTCCACATAATATTTAATCATTTAATTTTTGTATGACTTCAACAATTTTTGCTTGTAGTGCACATATTTTTACTTAATCCCTCTGTTTAAAAAAGAATGATCTAATATTTTTTTAGTCTGTTTAAAAAAAAAAGACCCCTTTGACAATACTTTAATTTCTACTTTCCACGTGACATGTTTTAAGGCCACAAGATTAGAAGATATTTTGGGACATTTGACATAACTTTAATTTAGAATCACAAGATTAAAAAGTCTTCTTTCTTTTCTTAAACTCCGTTATAAGTCAAACTAGGTCATTCTTTTTTAAACAGGAGTAATATTTATGCAGGCTGAAGTTCAACCATTTTTAGCTGAACTCGAGACATTGCATATCTTAGTTATTCTAAAGTGAATAAATTCAATAAGGTGTTTAAATGAGGAAACCTTAGTATTCTACCACTAGACCATCCCTTTCTCTCGATTGATGCTATTGACTTATTTCTAAGAGAAACATCAAAATTTAATAAAAGAACTTTGCGATTTTTTTTTCGAAAACATGATTATTTGTTTTTGTTTTTCCTCACTACTTTCCATTTTTCTTCTTGTGAGGGCTCTATGTGGGCATCAATGCTCGTAAAAGATGGTACGCAAACTGATAGATATATTGATTAAAAGTATGGTATGAATGATAGAAACAGAAATGAAAATGTATATTAAAAAACATAAAAGCAAACTATAATAATTGCACATGCAATGGCATTTACGATAGACACAACACATGTAAGTACTACAGGTCACTTTAATAGGTCATACTGTGCAATATATCACATTTTTGATATTATAAGAAGGAATCCTTGAAAGAGAATTTTCTGATTGGCTGTGTGCCTTTTGAGATGATCTTTGTGTTCTTTCACCATAGGTGACCAACTAACATTATATTATCTAATCTCTACATTGCATTGAATAGTGTGCCTCTGTTTTATACTTAATAATATTTTTAACAGGTTGCATTATGTGTGAGTCGAATTCTATTTATGGACCACTCACATATTAATATTATGAACACATTGTTGAGAGTAGAAATCATACATGGAGTATTATATTCATAATGTTGTTTTTACAAATACAATTATGTATTGAACACATTGTTGAGAGTAGAAATCATATTACTACCTACTTGTGTGATTATTTTTAGTGGATAACACAGAAGCACCGTGATATAACGCGACTGCTAAATAATACTATTAATACTGAGAAGCGGAAAAGAGGATGCTGGTCCTCTTCTTTTACCACATAAGAGGTGCAACAATACTCGGCTATCTATTAGCGATCTACCTTAATTTTCCCTTCTAATCTAAGATCATGTCCTCAGTAAGCTGAAGTTGTTCTAATTACCCCTCCCCATTCTGGCTCAAAACTGATTTCGAGAATTGTGAATTTTAACTGTTTCCAGTTGAATGTGGAATTAATAGGTTCATAATTAAAGCAAGTAACAACCTGCTAAAGTGGATTTTTCGATTGTTGTGAACTTGAAACCCGATGTATTTGCTGTGTTGCTTTCAGTTTTGACAATAAAAGAAAGAAAATACCAATGGTTTCTTATAATTCTATCAAGAATTTGACTAATCAAGGAAAATAATGTAGAAAAGCATCTTCTTCTATAAAAACTGAGGAAGATTTTCACTTGTACATGTGTTGTAATGGTACAGTTTGACATTTCAATATTGTCAAATAAGTTGATGTTTCATTCCCTCAATATATCCTTGGGAGTGTACACCTCAACCCCAGAAAACAAATAAATGATGGATGTATCAGGTGATCTTCCACCTTTCTCCCATTTTCTACAATTTATGCTATAACAAACCAAGAAAAGCCAAACATAATAGAAAAAAGAAAAGCATACAGGAGCAGCTTAACTGGATCAGCGAGGATTAATATAACTGATCCCGCTTGCTTAGGATTGAGGCATAGTAGTAGTTGTTATTTATTCAGCATTCCAGGACATTTGTTGATGATGGTGGTGACTGTGAAAGCTGGTTATGAATCGGAGCCTCAGGTTCTGTCTGGGCCTGTTTTTGCTGCTCAGCATATCTGTTTATTCGTTCAAGCAACTGGGTTGCCTTTCGTCTACCCCTTTCAGTGCCATTTTGTACTAAATCCACCAATGGTCCCATTATTCCTAGCTCCTGAACATCCACTAGATGATGTTGGTCCCCAGAGCAAAGGTGTACCAAAACTGCAGCTGCATTTTCTTTGTTTCTGGGAGAACCATTTGTGATCACATTTACCAAAACAGGAACTGCCCCTGCAGCTCCAATGGTTGTCTTCCCTTCTGGATGACTAGACAGTATCGCTAAAATGGCAAGTGCTTCATCGATCATACCACCTTGAGGTTCCGTAAGCAGCCCCATTAGAGTGACCACAACTCCAGCCCTTACTGCCTTGCCCTTGTTCCCTTGATAAATGCACAGATTGAAAAGTGCGGTAGCAGCGTCTTTCTTCCCTCTCTGGGTGCCATCACTTAATAATGTAACAAGTGGAGGTATTGCCCCAAAAGTACCAATTATGACCTTATTCTCATCTATAACTGAAAGGCTAAATAGCGCGGCCGCTGCATTTTCACGTGCTTCCATGCTCCCCTTCTTAAGCACATGGACGATACCAGGCACTGCCCCTGATGTTACAATGCTCCGTTTGTTATCCTCACAGATAGAGAGGTTAAGTAGTGCTGTAACAGCATGCTCTTGGATCCGAGAATCAGGTGTGGAAAGAAGGTCAGCGAGCAGAGGAATAGCACCTGCTTCAGCTATTGCAACACGATTATCAGCATTGCGTTTAGCAAGCAGGCGGATTTCACCTGTGGCTGAGAGACGATCTTCAGGGCTGCCAGATGTGAGCTTTCTCAGGAGATTTTCTATTGTCGAGTGCTCAGCAGGCGTGCACGCGGATGTTGATTTATTGGGTGAACTACCTGGTCGTTTGGGTGATTCAACTCCATTCATTTCACACCACTGTGCTATGAGGCTCCGCAACACATAGTTTGGTGTGACAACATTGCTTGTGAGGACTTGTTGTGTCTTGGGACAAGTGCTATGCCCTGCTTCCAGCCACTTCTCAATAGAAGAACGCTCGTAAGTCTGCGGTGGAGGACACCATCAATATTGTTAGCAAACTACGATATGGAAATGATAACTACAGTACAAATTCAGCCTACAAACACGAAACCACATCTTCCATGAACATGAGACCCATAAGGCATGTGCATCCTCAATATTTCAGTGGATACATTTTAACAGCATAAATGCGACATAAATCATGTATCAAAATTTTGGTTGATTATTTAGTTTCTAAAGATATAATCTCATAAATCAGTAAGGACCATATCAATTAAATGAATACGAATCACCTATCTGTCTATACTTTTTGCATATGAACCAGTCTACTTGCCCCTAAAAATAAAAAATGAAAACAATGAATTACTTTCTACTTTTTACCTCTTTTCTCTATTTGAAAGTGATGACAAAGATGTCAAAGCACTTTACGGAGAAAGAGTGAAAATGTGCTTGGATTTGAAACCTATAATTTAATGAATTTCTACTCATAAATTTATGTTCCGCGAATAGGGCTTTCTTCCATGATCATTTAGGATATCTTCACTCCATCTACTGAAGAAGAAAAAGAAGAGGGAAACTAGACAACAGGGAATTTGCAACACTTGAATGAAATGATTTAAGGCCTTGTTTAATTGACAGTCTGACTAACATCCATGCACGCACAAGGCAAGATGATAATGCAAGATAGGAGAAATGGAGGGACTCTGTTAAAACATCTTTCCTGTCATGAGATAGCAAGAGAAATGGATAATGGTGCGACTCATTTTTAACCAAAAAAGCATGATAAAGATCCAAAAATGGTACCTGGCCAGATGAAACAATAACAGGATCTTTCATCAATTCCAGGGATACAGGACACCGAAAATCATCTGGTATAACTGGGGCCTTATGAGTTGCCTCGATAGATGCTTGTCCACTACAAGTTGAAGACTTCTCCCTCGAAGAAGAATCAATCTCCGGAGTCTCAGTCAGCACAAAGCCCTTAATTTTCCTCAGTACAAGTGACATCTTCTCGATCCTCTCCTCTGGATCTTCACCAGTAGCAGTGACCATATCATGCAAAGCACATGATTCTTGTGTGAGATCATATAATCCAGTCAGCTGTAACTTCTTAACCAATTTCCGCAGGACAGCTGGATCTATAGCAGGATCATTACTCTTTCTGTAAAGGGACAATAGATCCTCACGGAGTTCAGCATCAGGTGTATCAACCCTTCCTTTGGCTCTTTGGAACTGAGAAAGGACAAGCTCTACCTGGAAGTTGGAGCCACAGATGGAAAAGAAGAATTGCACATTAAGAGATGTATCCATCGACAACAAATGAAGACGTAATAAGGTGATGTCTTTTACTTGCTCTTTAACTTCATCAGATATGTCAAGCTCTTCATAATGAACTCCACCCAAAGCTTGTTCCAGCTGGGTTGTCACTTGGTGAAATTTATTCATTATCTGCTCCCTTTCTAAGACCTGCAAAGAAAAATTCCTAAATTGAACTTTACTCTGTAAGCCTGAATAATCCTGATGTTTCAGTGAAATATACAGTGTTCTACGAGGACTAAAGCTAATCATTCATAGGTGTAAGGAATTGTTTGCGGTTAAAATAGAAATCTGCTCTATGAGAATCATTTTACCATGCAAATGCTTGAGTTAGTAGATGTCAAAGCGGCACTTCAGGGAGAAGAAATGAGGAGTTCAGACGTCTTGATGACCTAAAAGCCGTGGATCAGGCAGGCTATTAAAGGTTCACTTTAAGGTAGCAGAAATAATAGCTTCCAAATCCAATAGAGTCCAGTCCCTAAAGAAAACAACTACTCCATAAATAGTTACAACAAAATTCCCCAATAGGGAGATGCTAAGTACTAACCAAAGTAAACTATAAACGGTTGAGAGACCAATAATGTTATATGATTTATGAGAGTTAGTGTTGCTGGGCCTCTAACACCCAACTTGTCCTCAACATGAGCACTAGTAGAAATACAGATATTAAGTAGATGGCATCATATAAGATTAGACAAGATTAGAATTAAAGGATAGAAAGGGTACAAGTAGCACACTGCATGCTTAAAGGATAAACGAAGAAGGTTACCTGACGTGGTTTGGTCAAGTCTCAACGCCACCCATTTAAAAAATAAATAAAAAATCCACGTGGTCCATTTAAAAGGATCAGACCCCCTTGCACATGAGTGGCATGTTAAAGACATAATCAACTAAGCATCCAAGGGTATGGCGCAATGGTCAATGAAATGGGTTGAGAATCATGGGGTCTTTGGTTCAAATCCTAGTAGAGACAAAAACACTAGGTGATTATTACCATCTCTCCTAGCCTTGGTGAACAAAGTTACTTGGTACATGTTGGTGGGAGGTGGCAGGTATCCGGTGGAACTAGTCGAAGTGCACGCACGTTGTTGGTCCGGACACCACGGTTCATCACGTATTTAACTCAAAAGAGCACATAAAAAAAGCTTGTAATCCCTGCATTGCAACTCGGTTCAGCTTCTCTATAATAGCTTCCCTACCAAGATACTGCAACTAGTTTCCTTTCAGCAAAGAATTTTACTTGAAATTATCCTAATAAAGAAAGTCCAACCCAGTTTGACATCCTGAAGAGGCAAGTAACGAATAGTTGGTTTGAAGGACACCAAATGTTTCATAATAATTAAGTGCATGGATTCTTCTCTCCTTTTTCTCTTAGTTTGCAATTAATCCCCCTCACCGTCAGCTCCACATTCTTTGGACAGTAGGAGAGGTAGATGAACCAGAAAAGTTCAACAAAGGTTCATCCATATAGAAAGTAAAATTTCCATTATCATACTAAACATGCCAATCTTGTTCATGTTACTGTTATTCTCAGTAAATAACGTAAAACTTAACCAGTATCCAATGATATGAAATCATTGCCCAGGAAACAAGAACATTTCTAAGAGGTCTGGCGGTGAAAAGGTAGTGGCTTTCTCAAACTTAAGTATTGGGATCAGAAATAATAGCACAATCTACTAATGGTGTGCAATAATCCAAGAACGGAGTCATAAAAACACACATCCTAATCAAAAATTTGAAAACTCATCCTCATCCAGCAACTTAAGATTCTTGTTGACTCCCTTTGTTACAAGATGAAGAATCTTGATGAGGATAGGATACTACTGCAGTACAATTTGGTCTATTCACATAGAGGTTAATCAAGTAAATACACATTGATCACTGATCAGACAGATCTAATGATTGAACACTTGTGTCCACACCGAGCCTCAAAGCAATGATCTTGTTCCAAGAGCAAGATGAATTGTCCATTTCGGAATTTAGGTAGCTAGGTTCTTGATTATATAGAAAGATATAGGATCTTAATTTACAGGTACCTGTGCAGTTTCAATCAATCGATCAACCCTGTATCAGTTCCAATCTAATTGAGCTCAGGTATATTAAAGTAAAAACGCGAATCTAAAATCAATAAAGGTGGACATAATCAAGTACGATTCTGAAAACAAAAACTCACCAGATAAATTTTGCTTCCCTCACTACCGAATTTGAGCAATTCCTTGGTTGATTCAAGAGTTTCTTTCAAGGAAACCAAAGCTATCATGGAGTTTTCAGGAACTGGTTCTTTGATATCCCGAATCTCTTCAAACATTGGAATCAACAATTTGAGCCTCCTAGCTAGATTGCAATACTCTTTCTTCACCCAAGTTCTGAAATCTGAAATGGCTGCTATTTCGTTCACTACCTCAATCAGCTCCTGCACTAACACTCCTCTTTCTTCTTCCATTTCCTTTCAAAGATCCAAAATTTAACAGAAAATTGAAACAGAACAACTTATAAATATGAGCTGAGCTGAACTGATTGCGATGTTCAGCTGCTAAATTAGACCTGAAGAGCTCAGTTGTTAGTCGTCGACTCCATGAGAGAAGGGAGACAGAAAATGGAGTAATTTAGAGTAAGAATTAAGAGAGTATTGTTGTGGCGGCGGGGCTTTAGGATGAGTTCTTTTGATGTGGATTGGCTTAAATAATATGTTAATGAAGTTTACCGGCGAGGTACTTGTCGGTTAATTGTTACCGGCGGTGAATTGAAGTGTGGGGTAAAACTGGATCTGTGAAGAAGAAGAAGAAAGAAAAAGAAAAAAAACAGGTTTATTGGTGGTTTTTGAGTAACCGTTTACCTTGTCTCTATGAGTGAGTGGTTAAATACATGACGAGATGTAAATTGTCGGGAAATCACATTTCTTGTTACAATTTGAATTAAAAAATTATATATTTGTAAGAAAAGAAAATTGTAAAAAGAATATATAAGTATTTTTTATTTTCCAGTTGTTCTTCTATTTCATCTCATTTTATATTAATTTATTAAAAAATATATTTTAAATGTTAGTCAAAATTCATATAGTTTGGCTCTAGATTATCATAATATTATATGCTTCCTCTGTTTTAATTTATTTAACTTTACCGCGGAGTTTAAAAAATTGAATTTTATGATGTTATTAAAAAAATATGTCAAATATACTAAAATACTATCTAATCGTATCATTTTAAACATATCTTTAATATACACATTGTTTATGTGAGTTGAGCATTTTCTTTTTTAATCATGAAAGAAAGTTGCACAAAACGCAAAGTGGCTTTCACATGGTCATTTCCTCACTTATGTTTGTTACTTTTCCACAACTATAAAACTACTTTTGGATTTACCCTAAGTTATTACATTAATAAAAACAAACTATTCCCTCCGTTCAATAATAATTGTCTATTATATTTTTGAGATGTTTAATAATACTTGTCCATTTATTGAAATCAATGAATAATTTTACATTTACTTCCTAATTTACTCTTATAGTCATTTCCCCATTATATTAATTCAAAGAATGATATATTAAAATCACCTTTCTATTTATAGTTTCTTTAGAAGTACTCCCTATGTCCCTAATTACTTGTCCACTTTTCATTTTTTAGTTGTTCCTAATTACTTGTCCATTTTGACAAATCAAGAAATGACAACTTTTTTTACCTATTAATTACTTTGAAAATGGTAGAACTTTTTGAAAATCTTAAATTTTTAAGGGAGAATCCTTTTGGCCAAAATTTTTGGCCAGAATGGTAAAATAACATATTTTACCTTATGTTATTTTACCTTTTTGAACATTTTACCTATTTAATTTTAATACCTTTTAATTAAAAATGAAAAAAAATCAGTTTATTTTAAAATAAAAAGAATATTCTAGACTTTTTAATTTTCTGGTCATTTAGCATTACCCAATTTTTAATTCATTCACTTCACAATTTATAGGGGTAAAATGGTAAACTCACTATGTCAATAATTATTTCTTAATAGGTGTGTCAATTCAAAAGTGACAAGTAATTATAAACAAAAAGAGTATGTAAAGTCAATAGTAAATAAATATTGTTAAACAGATATAGTAAGTTTTGTAGTAGTATTAATTGTATGAGTTGAGACCATTGGTTGCCCCAAAAAAGATACATTTATTTCCTTCCAATAAAACAAATTTGTCTCTTTTTCCTTCTTAGGGTGAAACATACATTTGTCCAAGTCACCAAAATGATGAAGCCTTACAGAGCAAACAAACAAAGGGGACAAAAAATATATATATTAGTAAATGCAGAAAAGGATAAAAAGAAATTGTCTTGGAATATTTGCTGAAAATTAAATAAACAGGGACAAAGGTTCTAGCTTAATCATTAGACACATGGATTCTAATCTCATGAAAAAAATTAGTCCCTTTAAAAATAATAAATAGAGAAGTGAAATCTCTTGACATTTTACAAAATAAATAAAAGAAAATGACTTTCAAACCTCTAATTGGTAAAAATAAAAATCTCTTATAAAAAAGATATAAAATTTTAAAAATTGTAAGTAAAATTATTTATGAACAAAAAATATTATTTCACTTAAACTAGTACTAACATATTTATGTATGGGTAAATGGGTCCGCTTAATCATGATTAGTGTGACAAATTCCACCTAAATGACTGCTATAATGACAGCTTGAAAATATTATTTTAATTAAAAGTTAACCTGTTTATTCCTACCTTGTTAAAGTTTAGCCTAAGGTGGGGAAAAAGACTATGAAATCATGTGAGCCTGTCTAAGCTAAGCCATAAAATAGCTTATTATTGAGCCAGGCTCTAATTATATAGTAGCTTAGCTTCTTAAAACTATTTAAATCATCATCAACTTAGATAATATAGAGTAATAATATATCGAACTACTTCTATATAACTTTTGAGTTCAGTGTCTCTCAAAAGCAATTTCTCTACCCAACAAAGGTAGTAGTGGGTAAGGGACACCCTACCCTCTTCAGAACTCAATTATGAAATTACACTGAATATATTAAGGAATTAATTTGTAAAACCTGCCTCGCATAAGATTTTTTAAAAATTGCTTCAACACACCCTGCTCCACCCGACCCCATAAAAGGACAAATCCGCTCCGCTCTATTGTCATTCCTATACCTAAGTCATTGTGGAAAAGGGTAAAATGGGCATTAAGAAGGACAGCTTTTGATGATGTATTTTGCTAGGATTTTTCGTCCATTAAACCAAGACATTAGCATCGAGAATCTTGAAAGCATGTGCCTCATAATTGACCAACATATCTCATGACACATGAATTTGTCCAAACTTTAATTATTTGCATCGCAACTACTATATGAATTAAAAAGTGTTTGGAAACGATTTAAGAGACATTGGTCAAAGATTAAGAGGATATTACTATTCTGATGTCTGACCATAACCATGTTACTGCATAGTTCTATTATATAGAAATGAGTGTTCGATATAAAAAATAGGATACATCTGCTCTTTTATCTCAAAAAAAATTCTTCGAAATTGTTCGTTTACCCACAATGGAGGAGTCGTCTCTAAAATCGAAGTATAAATCGGTGAAGTTAGATATTACTTTTGATGAATAGAATACAAAGAAGAGTCATCCAAAAAAAGGTGGTTAAAATAATTAAAGCAGAAACGGATAATCAGCCAATAGTTGACAAGTTTTCTAATCCCCCAATAAATATGAGAATTGACATTTAATCCAAATAAAGAAAGTAAAAGAGACACATGAAATAATTATATATCCTATTCAACATGGGACTACAAGTGTGTCTTTATGGGAAATCATTGAATGGAGATGCACAGGCTGCAATTATGGACCAACAAATGCTTACTGTTTCCTAACAGTCTTGCCTTGATGTTTGTGGGGGACTGCCCCGGCTGCGGTCTAATTAACTTGAACCTTAGCTTATTGTACATATTAATTTGTGTACAACTCAATTATTTCATTGAATACTAGTTATAATCTTTAATTTATCGATAAAAAAATGAAGAGACATGCCAACAACAACAACATATATAACCAACGTGTAATCCCGTAAGTAGAGATCTGAAGAAAATGATGTGTACACAAATCTGACCGACCCCTACCTTGTGAATTCAAAGATTAGGTCTAGATGAGTCCATGAATGCAGTTTCCTAGAAAATTAAATCATGAATGGATCGTTGGAATTGTTTGGCAGGACCACTGATGTGCCATATCATGGGTCAAGATATGGATCATCCCAGTCATGATCTCACAAAAAGGATTCAGACTCTCAAACATCATATTCAAAATAATTTAAAGTTTTTGAACTCGTTATTCATTAATTCATAGGTTATTTTAGTTATTGAATTCACAATTAAATATTTATACATATTTAATAAAAAATTTAAGCAAAAATTATTGAATCGTCATCTTCTTAATAATAAGTTAATAACCCATAGTTAATATTGTAGTCGATGATCGTATCCATGTTACAGTACTACTCTCCATATTTATAACAAAGGATAAAAATGAAAATAAACAACTAATAATATCTTGATTTTCTAAAATGACAAGTATTATGAACCATATATTTTTAGTAAGAATGACAGTAAAATGAAGGAGGGTGTAGTCATATAGTAATAGTCTCTAACGATTCGAAGTGCCAAACAATTGGGCAGCCAAATGAATACTACTAGTTTCATCACATGATGCATAATTAATTCTATTAGTGACCATTTATTTGTGTGGCCAATGCATCTATTGTTGGTGGATTGTCAATCTTGGCATCAAAGACATTAGAATTTATATATTAGTTCCTATATTTGTTGTTATAGATCATTAATAAATCTTTAAATTAACGATCTCGATCTTGGAATAGATTATAGAACTGTATATGTATCAGATATTTGAAGAAGTTTCCTAAAAGCTTCCTTGTCTATATATATGACTTTTTTTTGGTTCACATGTGGACTTGTTTTGTCAATACATGCAGTGTAACGACTCAATTATGGGCTTGTGAAAATATACCCACCACAATAATTCAATGGAGAAGCAATAGAACTTTCAGTAGTTACTAGGAAATAGGATGATGACATTTTTATTACTACTTCGTTTTACCCATAAATAATATTTCAATTATTTACACAAATACAAAGATGTTGAAAAACATGACTTTAATTTCTACAATATTTTCGTATTATAATATCTAATAAATTATGTCCTGAGAACATGACTTGGGAGGAGCTAGTTTCGTAGAAAATTGTGCGTGGCCCACTAAAGGGAAACCGCCGCACATGGTCGACGTGTGAATCATTTCAACAAAAATTATCTATTTTAGAGATTAAATCTTCACAATATATTCTTTGCCTTTTGATCCTATGTCCTTATCCACTTGGTGCCTCATATTTCCTCAAGTCATTTCCAAGAGTTAAATTATATCCTTATTATTATTATACTTATTAATATTAAAATGATAATAGTAGTCTCTATTTTGAACACAATATACAAGTATCTTATGAGATTAGCATGTATCTGAGATACCAGATACGCGAGCGAGATAGGAGAGTAATGAGCAAGATAAGAGGGAGACAGCTAGATTTGTTTGTGTATCTCAGATACATGTGAATTCACTTAAATATATTATATCTACAACAAATTACACCTAATTTTGACCTCATGTATCCCGAGATACATGTATCTGTATGCACCAAAATCTGATAAGATTCGTAATATTATAAACTAGCTTGTCTCGTAAATTATTAGGATTTCTGTGTGTTTCCTTTTATGAAATCTGAGCTCTGTTTGGGCCTATGTTGAAGGTTAGACGAAATGATTTTGGTTGAAC